TTAATACAAAATAAAATTTCAAATAACAAAAAAAAAAATCAAAAAATTAAAATATATACAGTATAACTAATTATACTTTTATTTTAATTATTAATAATATATATAAAAATTATTATACAGTAATTAAAATATATATATATAAATATATATCAATAAAATCTAGTTTTTAAAATACTTTAATTCACCTTAAATATTAAAAAAAAAAAAAAAAAAAAACTTTAACAAAAAAAAAATACTATATAAATATACATACTATATATATATATATACTGTATATATACTATATTATAAACTTTATTATTTTAATTTGACAATTAAATTTATATATATATTATAATAAATAATAAATAAAAAATATATATATATTAAAATATAATTATAAAATAAAAAATATTTTTATTTTATAAAACAATTAACTGTTTGTTTTAAACTGTTAAAAAAATATAAAAACTATAGTTTTTACAACTCTAAAGTGTCTATATATTATATAAAATTAAAATAATAAAATTAATAAATAATTATATAATAAAGTCGATTTATACTGTGTTATAACAGATAATACTATATATTTTGTTTTTCATATCTGTTTTAAAATAAATATTACAGTAATAATAAAAATAAACAATATAACATACTTAACTGTTATGAGAAAAGGTATATTACAAAGAACATCATAATTAGCATTTAATACAGGTTTTTTTACACGAAATAAAATTTGCTTAGATCGCTTATAGATTGACATATAGGTATAGGTATGCGAAATATTTGATCAAAAAACAGTGGATTTTCCGGAAATCAAAGTCTACGGTTAACACTCAGATATAACCAGAATACGATTTCCCTCAAATATAATCTTTAAATTAGCGGGGTTTATTTATCTAATTGTGAAAAATGATAAAATTCAGCCTTCATTATTTTGTTATATGCGTTGTTTTGTAAAGACCTAAAGGGACATTGTCATCTTCATCATCAACTATTGGATCTATTATATTCATGTTTTCCTTATGGTTTGAAAGTGCAGGAGTTTGTTTATTTCTTGTCCCTGAACTTGGAGATAAAGGTCTTATTGGACTAGTTGATCGTTGGTTATTTGGTGACGGTCGAACATTTGAAGATCTTCCGTTTGGGAGCTTTGGCGCAATAAATCCAGGGAACCGGAATAACCGAAGACCCGTTTGGCAAGTCCCGAGTTGGGAAGTAG